ACTGTCGAAAGATAATGCACCGACTCCGGAAGACATGAGGCAAATCGAGAGAGAGTACATGTTGATTAAACCTAAGAAGTACTCGTATCCAGAGAATAGGAACATGCAAGGGGGGAGTCAACCACAGAGGTCGTCATGATACAAGCCTAGGGATGATATGGACAAACGCAGGTTATGCGCAAATTGCGGAACAGCGGATCATCACGTGGCGGATTGCACGACCTACAAGCAAGGCATGAAGAGTCTGGGATATGCGCCGGATGAGGACATTATGAGCCAGACGGAAGAACATGAGTTCTACAGTGGCCTGATCATCAAGATAGGCGCGAGATGCTTCTTCTGCAATCAAGAGGGCCACTTCAGGATGGATTGTTCGTTGTTTTGGGAAGCAGTGAAAAACCAAAGTCACCCCAAACACAAGCTAGCGCTGACGCCGGTACAGAACACGAGGAACAGGCAAGCCGATTTTGACACAAAAACTCAGAGGCACCGAGTGCGGAACTACCGACAAAAACGGTGAAGGCTGTAGCACAAGTCAAAAAGCCATAAAAGCTGAGACCAGAAATTCTCTGGAGACAAACTATGAGAAAGCACCTGCAGAGGCTATCAACAAAGTGAAACAAGGCCTAGCAACGAAAAAGATCGAACAGCGACTAAAACAAGAGGTCGAAAGGCAGAAGTTAAATGAGATATTGTGTAGGCCGGTGCCGGTGCCAGAAGCCGAGATGGGAGCGACAAGGAGTGCAAAATTGTAACACACTAAAATTGGTGACAGAAAAACCATTCGGCTTAACAAAAATTGGAGCCAGGATAATGTCGATAATCACGGTGGGCGGCCATGAAGTGACATGAAATCTGAGTGAACCGAGCGATCAAACGATAATGCACATTGATGTGTACGCAGATTACTTAAGTGCAATAAGTCCGCAGACAACTTCTAGAGCCTTGAGGGCACTACTCACAAGAGGTGGCAGCAAGTCAGTCCGCGTCAAGCCTATGGTCCACATGAGGTGATGTTAAATATAGATGGAATAAACATCTATACGAAGACTATGATAACATTAGACGAAGACTTAGCCGGACAGATCTACGTGGGCAGGGAAGAACTGAAAGTGAGATCGATTGGACACTGTGTCATGTTGGAAGAGGATGCAATTCATATCGGTACAGAAGCGGACGTATCGGCACACATGCTTGACATAAATGGCAAGCGGACTCAGTTACGCGGGTTACTGGACACGGGTGCGGTCTTGAGCGTTATACCAATCGAAACCTGGGAGCGAATGGGCTTCAACAAAGACGATTTAATAGACTCGAGAATTCGGCTGTCAGCTGCAAACAAAGGGGTACTGCGGGTACTAGGTAGGACACCAATAATAGCCCTAAACTTGGGGGAACCCAACCTGTGGATGAGCTTTCTTGTGGTGGAAAAGCTAGACGAGTCTGACCAATTCTTTTTAGGCAGGGATTTCATTAGAAATTTCGACGTCATATTTGATTTAAACAATGTCATGTTCAAGATTCGGAATCCGGAAAGAAAGTGCGTAATTAAACCGGTAAATTTGATAATGGCGAATGAAAACAAAGCACCGGTATTCTTGAGTAGAGGGTGAGGCTGAAAGCAAACGAAGCGGCAATTGTAAGCTTGCGAATGAAAAGTTATAATGAACTAAGTGACGTCAAGGAAGTATGCATCCAAATCCAAATAGTCAAAGTGCTGCTGTTTTAGGAACACCCTTCTCGATAACCAAGAGCGGTCTCTGCGTCAGAGTCTTGTTGAATACTCTTGATATACCAATCACAATCCAGAGGGGAAGGAAACTGGGATACGCTTTACCTCTGAAAACTCGATATGAAATGACTGTAATTGTAAAAGAGAATGAAGTTCTTGATTGTCCCAATCACAGGACAAGATTTGTATCATGAGACGATTAAAGAAAATAAAAGATTCATCAGGTCTTGTGAAATCACTTAAGTCAGAGACAGACGATGGACTTTTGAGCTGTTCGAATTTTTCAGAAAGACCCACACTAGAGGAAATGGAAATGGATAAACTGGTTTTACCTGAAATAGAGCACTTGAGGGGCAAGGTAACTGATGAAAAGCTTGAAGCCATCAAGAACGTATTAGAACGGAATGAAGACGTTTTTTCGAAACATAAGGCAGACATTGGATGTTGTAATTTTTTTGAACATGAAATAGAGCTTGGAGAGTCGGCGGAGCCGCACATGGAGGGGGCGAGGCGTATGACCCCACACAAATCGGATGCATGTAGAAAAGAGATAGAGACCTTACTAGAAAAAGATATGATAGAACCATCCAAATCACCGTGGGTGTATGGAGTGGCGATGGCCAAGAAGAAAGGCGACCAATTGAGGTTTTGTTGTGACTTTCGATACCTGAACTCCGTCACGGTGAAGTATGCCTATCCCATACCTAGAATTGATGAGAGCCTTTCAAATTTAGGGGACGCAAAAATTTTTACGACTCTTGGTTTAGGATCAGCTTTTTGGCAGGTTCCTCTGAGGAAGCAAGACAAGGATAAAACAGGGTTTACCTGCGAGCTGGGACTGTTTCAATGAAAGAGGACGCCCTTTGGACTTTGTAACGCCACGGCTACGTTTCAACGATTGATGGCACATGCATTGATAGGTGTAACGAAGAAATACGGCAACCTGGTAATAAAGTACGTGGATGACGTGGTAATAGCGACACCGACACTAGAGGACCACATCGAGCGACTAGACGAGGTGTTTGCCAGCATGAAGAGATCGGGGCTAAAGTGCAAGCCATCAAAATGCGAAATACTCAAGGACTCGATTAAATACCTGGGGAGGATGGTGGACAGACACGGCATCAGACCAGACCCAGATGCAGTAGAAGCAGTTCTGACCTGGAAATCGCCAAAAACGGAACATCAACAGATGAGCTTCTTGGGTTTTGCGAACCATTACAGGGAGTTCATTGAGGGCTATGCGGACAAAGTGTACCCGATGTAAAAACTGATGAGGCTCAAGGGCAAGAAATTCACGTGAAACAATGCGGCAGAAGAGTCATTCCAGAGAATAAAGAAGGAGTTGTGTGAAGCACCGGTGCTAGGGATGCCAACGGAAAAAGGAATTTACGTGCTGGACACGGATGCATCGGTAGTAGCGATTTCTGGCGTTCTCAATCAAGAGCAGGAATGGAATGGGAAGACATTATTGAAACCAATAGCATACGGGAGTAAAGTCTTGAGTGATACGGAAATGAAGTAAGGGGCGCCCAAAGCAGAGATGTTTGCAGTGGTTACCCTTGTCGAAAAATACAGGGCGTAAATAGGCAGCGAGCCATTCAAATTACGAGTCGACAACAGGGCACGCAGCTGGTTGAAAACGTACTCAATGGATCAGAGCTACATAGGGAGATGGATAGTTAGCCTGGATGGATACAACATGATAATGGAGCATGGGACGAGAGACAAACATCAAAATGCCGATAGCTTGAGTAAGAAGACGGAGTTCTACGAGAGACAGGAACAGAGAGAGGCAGATCGGCCAGAAATCAAAGATGGCTTCTCCTTCATGGATAAAGAAACGTATGGTAGTCTTCCACTCACGAGATGGCTCGACAAGTCTGGCAAACCTATAGAAGATCACCCCGAATTACCAAAGGAACGTCCAGAGAAGACAATTTTGAAAAAACCCAAGGGATACCAATAGAGATAATGCTCAAGTCAAAACTTGTGAGGGAGACACTTAAGGCAAAAGGCTATGATCTCAACCAAGTTGAAACGGGAAGAGCAGAGATAAACGAAGACTTGAGGAGATTACTCGAGAAACTGACAAACGATAAATTCGTGGTCAAAGAAAAGAGTGAACAGGAACCACAGGTCACGATATTGAGAAGGAATGGTGCGGATGGTAGCGAGGGCTCCTTGAAAGGAAAGAAACCTGATGGAAAAGAAGTCGTGCAGTCATTGGTTGAGAGAATCCCTGAAGACATACTTGAGCGGACTATGGTCAGGAAAAAGAAGGTGGCATTCAAGGAGGAGGCTGATCACCTTGGACTGAGTCAAATATCCAGGTAGTGGCCCATTACAGAGGAAGATGTTGAAGAAGAAAATTTGTCCGGGGAGTGTGAAGAATGGGATGAAGACTCAGAGAAGAGCAGCGATTACCAAGAGAGTCTATCCATGATATTGGCAGAAGAGATGATGAGGCACCGCGACAGGGAACTACAGACGGATCCCTCCTCGGGAACGTACAATTTGGATCCGCAGGAGGTGCGCGGAGGTGAAGAACTTGAGAAAATTGCGGTATCAAGGAAACCGTTTAGGGAGCTATCATGCAACTCGAATGTCAGAAAAAACCTGGTGCCAGAAGATGACAGGAAGATCTTGAGGATGATAGTTTGCGTCAAACTGAAAGATGACATCCACAGTCCCAGAGAAATGAATGGTCAAATAATGGCACTGAAGGAACACGTCAAGGCGAAATAAAGGCTGTCGGATCTGATACGAGTCCAAAAGAACCTCTCCAAATGGATCCGGCTGGGAGCCAAGGAGAAAAGAGACCTGGAAGAAAACAGCTGCAAGATCTTGAGCCAGTTCTACAAAGAGAGGAAAGATTTGCTCTATCACGCAGCTGATGGGGTGGTAGCATGCAGGAGAAAGGACGAGGAGAAGATACTACACAAGCATAACCTCATCATACTACCACAGTTGTACCAGACGGAGGTGTTATTCAGATCACACGATCAAATGGGGCATCAAGGGATAGACAAGGTGCAACATAGAATACTACACAGGTTTGATTGGCCAGGATTAAGAAAGGCCTGCGAGAGATGCGTGAATGCATGTCTGGCATGTCTACAGGTGAAAGACCCACAGAAGATGAAGTTCCCACTCAAGTCCGTTGAGAGCTCGGAATTCAGCGGAAGCGGTGCCCTGTCAAACAGCCCCAGCGGAGGAGACTTGTGACCACTTGATAACACGTTGGATATCACGATGTGGTTGTCCGATGACATTTCAATCGGACAACGGGAAAGCCTTCGTGGGTGACCTGACAAAAGAATTGATGAAAAGGTCACACATTGCTCAAGCGCACTCAACGACTTACCACCCTCAGACTAACGGGTTAGTGGAGAGACAGAACAGAACGTTGGTGAACATGCTGAGGGTATATTGCTCGAGATACATGACAGACTGGGATAAATATCTGCCGCAAGTGGTCGGGGCGTACAACAGCACGCAACATTCGACAACGGGAATCAGTCCCTTCATGATGTTAACGGGCAGAGAGAGAGAGAGAGCAATGCCCCCAACGTTCTTTTACCAAGAATACGAAGGTAAAACGACGTCGCCTCAAGCTTATGTGAAGGAAGCGGTCAAGAGACAACAGGAACTAAACGATCTCTGCAGGAGGAACACGGCGCCAGCTCAAATGAGGCAGCGGAGGAAATATGACGAGAAGATACTTCAAGCTAAACCGTATGCCGTGGGCCAATACGTCTGGGTGTTCCAGATTGTTATACCTCCCAAGGTGACGAAAAAATTACTCAAGAAGTGGCGACGACCGTTCATGAGCACTGAATACACCAGCAGGGACGGTTCTACCGCTTGAGTACAGGGCGAGCAGCGCATTATGAAAATCTGAAGCCTCTTGTCCCATCTCCGGAGGACTGGTGCGTCCCGCAGAATATGGAGGGACTAGAGTACCTATTGGTAGAGCCAGCATGCGAAGTGAACGGGAAAAGCACCAGAGAACAGAATGATGGCAACGAGGACGTGAGCATGGACGATAATGAAAAGATAGAAGCAGGCTCAGATGCGGAATCCTTTGCGGAAGAAGACTGGAATGACCTGAAGCAGGACGAGGTGCCAAAGTGGACAGAACTAGACTTGGCGATAACAGCAAGAACCAGGAGTGGCAATCGCAAACGGACAGGCATGATGTACAATAGGTACGGGGATGACTTCTTGGTTGACATGAAATAGCCTCTTAAGCGAAGAGTTACTGAGTGTGGGTGAATTGGTGGCCGACGATGAATGGCAAATTATCAACGACAGCGAACATTACCCGCAAGAAGACTACTCCACACCAGAACAAAAAACAGATCTGAAGCAGGGCGAGATAGAAAGGAGGGAAAACACAAACTTGAGAACTCTAGAGTGGATGCGCGATGTCAAGAGCATAAGAGATGGAGAGCAAAGCATCCAGCAGGTCGACGTGTCAGCAGAAAAACGCGTGAAAATGAAAGATCCCCTCTTCGGTTGGACAGCAACCGACAGGCCGCTTGAGATACCGCCAGATAATTTAGAACCAGCATCATCGACGGGGACGTCGATAAATATTTTTGTCCGGGGAGTGGGGGTAGGACTTACCCACACCGAAAATTTGATAATATAGAAAGTCAGAGAAGTGAGAGATACCAGTGGGCTGGAACTGGATGAGGAAGAGGCTGAGCCTACCATAGGACGAAACTTCAAAACAAAATTTGAGATACCCAATGAATACTCGGAGAACATCCTGATAATGGACAGCGACTTCATTTTGTCAGACAGGTCTAGCGCGATCTGTATAACGCCGGACATGAGCTTCAAATCGAGACTAGAGGCCGACTTCAACAGTGAATATCAGAACGTGGAGTTTCTATTTAGACAGATACCGGGGTTAGGAGGAATGGCGGCGCTTTTCCCATCAATTTCACAAGTCCCGGGTAAATACCTGTGCTTTCTAGTAACGAGGATCAATGAAAGGAACACGATAGATCCTGAAGACGGGATGTTGGCACTATCGAGGCTGAGAGACTTCATGGTCGAAAGAAGGATAATGGAGGTCTCGATGCCGGTTTATGACCCAAATAGGGGCAAGTTGAGCCCAAGGGAGTTATACGCCATCCTACACGTGGTCTTCGCAGAAACGGAGATGATGGTACACCTACACAAAAAATTCTACTTGAGTATCGCCTGAGTTACGGGCGGACAATCGAGGTCTCGAGTTAGGTACATGGGGATCTCAACTTAGGTAAAAAGGGGCGCGAATCACGTAGACGGATTTTAATGTAATTGGCATGACAATTAAAATCTTAAAGAATTAATGATGCTATTCTGCAATTCTACATAAAATTATTCTGCATGCTCTTAAAACTTACAATTGAACTATTTTAGTAGAATAGATAATAGGATAATGTTTTAAACACAATGATGGGGGTTTAGGTTAGGAGCAGAAAATCTTAGTCTAAAAATGGATCTTATTTTCAAATCGAGAGTAAAACTGAGTTGACAACCTAGCCGCACTCATTTGAAAAGAAAAAGAAGGCCTTGAACAAGTTTACGATCAGCATTATTCGAAGGGAGAAATTTCTCAAGTTCTCAAGTTGGTTGGTAAGGTAAGATCTCAAGTTGGTTGACAAGGTAGTTCTCAAGTTGGTTGACAAGGTAAGATCATCTAGAGATTGTGATAATGGCAGATCGCTTTTGGAAATCTATGCCTGCAGCACTCAAGATACCTACGCTCAATGAGCTATACAAACTCATGAGGGATCTGAACTACACCCAAGTCGATGAGAGGATGGCAGTGATGTTGAACGCCATCCTGCAGTTAGAGGCGCAGGGTGAATGCAGGGAGTCAGCGACAGAAGCTGTTTTGATGGTTGGCTACACGACAGAGGGGATATCCAATCAAGAGCAGACCAGATGGTTGTCCTGGAATGTGGATGGAGGCGTGAGGGGATTCGACTTGGCGAGAAATCCTGGCTTGAGCAACAACATGGAATACGGCGCGGGGGACTTCCCACTAACAACCAGGCCACCGGCAAGATCTGCGGGCCAGTCCACGAGTAAACCACCGTCTATGATACGGTCACAACAGACGGAGGAAGTATATCCGGACCTCAGTAACCTGAAGAGGGAACTGGAGAGGGCGCAGTGGGAGGGAGACAAGGCGAATCGTGACCGGGATGGTGCGAAGCTCCGGAGGGACCAGACGAACCTGGAAAGAGATCAAGCGGTCCTAGAGAGGGATCAAGCGAGGCTTGAACTTAGTATGATAAGGACAGAGTACCAACAAGAGCAGAAGGTAAGCGAGAATGAGGCGAACTGCGAGCAGTTGAAGTCTGAACTCGAAAAGGTCCAGCGGCGACAACGAGAAATCGCGAGACAAAAGGAAAAGGGAACCAGGACCACAGAACGAGCAGCTTCAGGGTCAAGGTCAGAATCACGGATGGAGTTGGATTCAACTTGGACCGAGCGGCTCAGGAGCACATCAATGAGGGACTGGAAGTATGGATACCACCCGAGCCAGTGTCCTCCGTGCGTGGTTTGGAGGCCCAACCAATACGCCCACTGATGGAGGTAGCACTGCCGGGATACACCCCGAGTTCAACCCCGAACAGCAGCCAAGTTAGCGGCAGTTCATCACGTCTCAAGGAATTACACGATAGGCTGCAGTTGGGAACCCGTGACGACTCAACAAGAGTGGAGCGACCCCCTACTTGGAGAGACCAACCAGTCAGGAGCGTGGTGATCGCAAGCTACAAAAAGAATACAGACGGCAGATACCACAGACACGACCGTATCGATTGGACCACGGCCTAGCGGGCGAGAAGGGATTGCTTCCACGACGCGTCATGGGCCGAGTACTACGCACAGCCGAGAATACCGGAGGGTGCAGTCCACTTAATCATAGGGGCAGCCTGATACGAGTGTTGACCCGGATCCAGTCGCATTGGCAGACTGGATTCTTGAGCTTTTCTGGAGCCGCAACACCTCAGATATTGGCATCACTTGAAATATTAGACATGGTGAAAATGTACGCGGTGACTCTGATGATGGGAACCAATGACGTGTCCAGAGGTGAATCGAGAAAAGTATTGAGGCTACATGAGAAGATTAGCTGCATCCTTGAGGAGTTGAGGATTCAGATGGATCCGGCTATACTCACGATTTGCACCGTCCTTTATAACATGAAGGCCGATCAGCATTCGATGGAAATGAACGAGAAGGTGCGCAACATCAACGAAATAATTAGACAAATACAGAGGATGGCTGAATGGCGTCTTCCAGAAACACATAAATACACTGGAAGCGGATCTGCTGGAATTGGCCCAGTTCACCTTCGGTCCACCCCCGGTACCCCTTTTTTTGCCACGAGATCCCTGTCCAATTGCCTGGGAGTGAGAGCCGATTCGAGAGATAGCTCAAGGAGGATAACCAGTTCGGTGGTATCCTCAGTGGTGGTGGTAGATCACAAGAGAGTGGAAAAACCGACGGAGACGAGCCGGACACGATATCTAGAGAGGATAAAGGAATTGGACCTGGAAGATCTGGAATGCAGACAGGAGTTGGCGGAGACCCTGGAACTCAAGCACGTGTCACATGAGGACTTGAGTCGTCACCATTGTGTGGATTGGTTGAAGGCCCATGAAGCACACTTCTCGAGAACGAGGATAATGGAGACGGCGGATCTGACCGGGATTCCTCTGAAATCAATAATGGGACCGATCAATTATAGGCCACTCAAGCTGTTGGGGAGTCATCGTGGAGCCCCCCAAACACCGAACAGATTGGCTACTCCTGCGCAGCTGAGGATAGTGGACAAATTACTCGATCCGAAAGACATGGGACTCCCAGATGCTGCCTATGAAGGCGGAAAATTAGCAAACGACTCAAGATACGGAAGACCCTGTGGGAACGCACAGTTGGCCAAGACATTGGCGGTCTATGACTGATCGGATCCAGGAGCCGCAAGAGTAATCTGTTGGCCGAAGCTGTTTTGGCCAGAGACCCTAGTGTACCTGCTGCCTGGTGCAGAATTGAACCAGATGATGACTCTGGTGGTGGCAATCAAATCAGAATTGCTGCGAAGCGGAGCTGCTGCTGTTTGCTGGAATGAATGATCACTTGCATGCGGCGGGGCTTCCGGAGCATCTGAAAAGTGATGCACCGACGCCCAAGAAGGTCTTGGAAGCTATTCAGACATTGTTTGCGGCAATGAATGAGGTGCAAGAGAATGTGACTTCTCGATTCGGAGCCAAGACAAAGGTGGCGTTTACAACGTCCCCGGGGTACGCAAGGATGCCGCCGGCGTTGCAATTTGTGTACGCTATATTGATCCTCATAGCGGAGGGGAACGAGTGGCGGGTGTTGATGGCAGCCCCCAATCGAGAGCTGGAACCCACGAACTTGAGACTTCTGAAGTCGGAATTGGCAGCGGATGGGCGTACGTATCTCATGCCTTGAGGGGATTCTACGAGTTGGTAGACAGGTTGGACGAGGTCCTATTACTTGAGATTTCGAATTTCGCTCGACAATTGAAGTTCAGTTCGGAAATAAGGGATGATCATTGGATAATAAGCCACCTAACAGCCGGCCTATGGTTCCACCAGCAAAACTGCGGCCGAGAAACAATTAGAAGCAATGGCATACCGGCTGACACAAGAGAGAGGCAGGTGGCCGTTCCTGAGCCCAAGGCTCGAGAATGCTACGGACAAGACGCGGGAGAATGCTCCACCTCTCGTCAAGCAGTAATGGGAATTTCTTGAGGGGCAGCTGGAGATGGCAGAGAGTAAGGAAATGACGATGGGGAGATTCGTCACAGCGGCTAACGAAGTCACCGTCGGA